AGGAAAGAGGGAGGGGGGGGGGGGAAGGGGGGTGAGAAACGGGGAAAAAAAACTCATGGAAAACCATGGAAAAATCACAGAAAAACCACGAAAACTCATGGAAAAGCACGGGAAAATCATGGAAAACCCATGAAAAATCACATAAAAACCATGAAACCTCATGGAAAACCACAGAAAATCATTTCAAAAATCACGGGAAAACCACCAAAACTCATGGAAAACCACGGGAAAATCACGGAAAAACCACAAAAACTCATGGAAAACCACGGGAAAATCATGGAAAAACCACGAAAACTCATGGAAAACCACAGGAAAATCACGGAAAAACCACGAAAACTCATGGAAAACCACAGGAAAATCATGGAAAAACCACGAAAACTCATGGAAAACCACAGGAAAATCATGGAAAAACCACGAAAACTCATGGAAAACCACAGGAAAATCACGGAAAACCCACAAAAACTCATGGAAAACCATGGGAAAATCACGGAAAAACCACCAAAACTCATGAAAAACCACGGGAAAACCACGGAAAAGCCACAAAAACTCATGGAAAACCACGGGAAAATCACGGAAAAACAACCAAAACTCATGGAAAACCACGGGAAAATCACGGAAAAACCACCAAAACTCATGAAAAACCACGGGAAAACCACGGAAAAGCCACAAAAACTCATGGAAAACCACGGGAAAATCACGGAAAAACAACCAAAACTCATGGAAAACCACGGGAAAATCACGGAAAAACCACCAAAACTCATGAAAAACCACGGGAAAACCACGGAAAAGCCACAAAAACTCATGGAAAACCACGGGAAAATCACGGAAAAGGGGGGGAACGGGGTGAGAAATGGGGAAAAAAAACTCATGGAAAACCATGGAAAAATCACAGAAAAACCACAAAAACTCATGGAAAACCACGGGAAAACCACGGCAACCCCGTAATAATGCCGGCAAACCGGCCCCGACTCACCCTGAAGTCGGCGTCCCAGGCCTTCCAGCCCCTCCTCATCCTCTTGAGGCCGCGGAAGGCGCCGGGGAAGCCGCGGAAGGCGCCGGCCTCGGGCAGGATGTTGTGGGCGAAGAGCGACGGGAGGCGCCGGGGGGGGCCCCGCGGCTCGGCCCAGCCCCCGCGGGCCGGGAACCCCGGGAAGGGCCGCTCCCGGCCCCCCCAGCCCCCCCGGAACTTGCCCTGGAAGTGCTGCTCCCGCCCCGGCGCCCGCCCGTAGAAGTCGCTGGCGTCGGGCTCGGCTTCGTTGGGGAAATCGCCGGGATAATCGTTGGGATAGTCGGGGTAATCGTTGGGGTAATCATTTGGGTAATCAGGATAATCATTAGGGTAATCATTGGGGTAATCGTTGGGGTAATCGTTAGGGTAATCGTTGGGATAATCGTTGGGGTAATCGTTGGGATAATCGCCGGGGTAGTCGCCGGGGTAGTCGAAGCCCCCATTTCCCAGATCCCGGTGCTCGTTCACGCGCGCGTCGCCGTAGGATTCATACGGGTCGTACCTGAGCGGGGATTTGGGAATTTTGGGGGTTTAGCTGTGACGGGGTTTTTGGGAATTCCCAAAGAAATGGTTTTCCCAAAAAAAAAACCGTCTGAGGGATTGGGATCGCTTTTATTCCCAAAATAATAGGTCCCAGAAGTGGAGGACCTCCTTCTCCAGCCCCTTTCCCACCTTCCACCCTTTTCCCATTTCCCATCCCCTTTCCCCATTTCCCATCTCCTTTCCCCAGTTCCCATCCCCTTTCCCCATTTCCCATCCCCTTTCCCCATTTCCCATCCCCTTTCCCCATTTCCCATCCCCTTTCCCCATTTCCCATCCCCTTTTCCCCATTTCCCATTTCCCATCCCTTTCCCGCTCCCCAGGATCCAATCCCAACCACCCTGGAACCCCAAATCCCAAATGCTGGATTTTTCGGGATAACCTCCCATTCCAATTCCCATTCCCACCCCACTTCCATTCTCATTCCCAATCCCATTCCATTCCCATTCCCAATCCTATTCCCATTCCCCAAATCCCCATTTCCAATCCCATCCCTGTTCCCATTCCCACGTTCCCCATTCCTGATCCCAAATTCCCCCAATCCCAATCCCACCTCTCGGGGGCAGCCCCGTAGCCCCGTCCCGGCAGCCCCTCGGCCTCGCCGTGGATCCCAGCTCCCCCAATCCCAATCCCAATCCCAATCCCAATCCCAATCCCATTCCCGCCTCTCCAGTGCAGCCCCGTAGCCCCGTCCTGGCAGCCCCTCGGCCTCGCCGTGGATCCCGATCCCATTCCCATTCCTACATTCCCATTGCCACATTCCCAATCCCATTCCCACCTCTCCAGTGCAGCCCCGTAGCCCCGTCCTGGCAGCCCCTCGGCCTCGCCGTGGAGCCCAATCCCATTCCCATTCCTACATTCCCATTGCCACATTCCCAATCCCATTCCCACCTCTCCGGGGCAGCCCCGTAGCCGCATCCCGGCAGCCCCTCGGCCTCGCCGTGGATCCCGGCTCCCCCATTCCCATTCCCAATCCCAAATTCCCTCAATCCCATTCCCACCTCTCGGGGGCAGCCCCTCGGCCTCGCCGTGGATCCCAATCCCACATTCCCAAACCCCCATTCCCATTCCCATATTCCCATTCCCACATTCCCATTCCCACCTGTCAGGGGCAGCCCCGTAGCCCCGTCCCGGCAGCCCCTCGGCCTCGCCGTGGATCCCCCATCCCCTTTCCCCATTTCCCATCCCCAGTTCCCATCCCCTTTCCCCATTTCCCATCCCCTTTCCCCATTTCCCATCCCCAGTTCCCATCCCCTTTCCCCATTTCCCATCCCCTTTCCCCAGTTCCCATCCCCTTTCCCCATTTCCCATCCCCATTTCCCATCCCCTTTCCCCATTTCCCATCCCTTTCCTGATCCCCAGGATCCAATCCTAACCACCCTGCAACCCCAAATCTCAGATTCTGGATTTTTTGGGATAATCCTCCATTCCCATTCCCATTTTCCCATTCTCCAGTTCTCATTCCATTTTCCCACTCCCATTCTCATTTTCCGGTTTCCGTATGCATTCTTGTTTACCCATTCCCACCTCATTCCCAATCCCCTTCCCCTGTTCCCAATTCTCTTCCCCCATTCCCAATCCCAATCCCTCACTCCCAACCCCATTCCCATTCCCAATCCAAATCCCACATTTCCATCCCCACCTCTCCAGGGCAGCCCCTCAGGCTCAGGTGGATCCCAGCTCCTCCAATCCCAAATTCCCATTCCCAATCCAAATCCCCCAAACCCAGTCCCTCATTCCCATTCCCAATCCCCCATTCCCATTCCTAATCCAAATCCCCCAATCCCAATCCCCCATTCTCAATCCCATTCCATTCCCATCCCCATTCCTGAGCCCAATCCCATTCCCCAAATCCCCATTCCCAATCCCATCCCTGTTCCCATTCCCACATTCCCCATTCCTGATCCCAAATTCCCCCAATCCCATTCCCACCTCTCCGGTGCAGCCCCGTAGCCCCGTCCCGGCAGCCCCTCGGCCTCGCCGTGGATCCCGGCTCCCCCAATCCCATTCCCATATTCCCATTCTCACATTCCCATTCCCAATCCCAATCCCAATCCCATTCCCACCTCTCCGGTGCAGCCCCGTAGCCCCGTCCCGGCAGCCCCTCGGCCTCGCCGTGGATCCCGGCTCCCGGCTCCTGCCGCTGCTTCCCGGGGCCGTCGCCGCCCTCGGGGGCCCCGTCGGGCTCGGAATTGCCGAGCTCCCAGGAATTGCCGGCGGCGCCGCCGAAGCCGAAGCCCCCGGAGCCCTCCTGGCCGTAGCCGTAGCCGTAGCCATAGCCCTCGTACCCTGGGAACGGGGAATGCACCGGGAATTACCGGCATTCACCGGGATTCGGGATTTACCGGGATTCAACAGGAATTTGGGATTCACCGGGAATTCAGAATTTACTGGGATTCACCAGGAATTCGGGATTTACTGGGATTCATTGAGCATTTGGGATTCACTGGGAATTCCGGAGAGCTCCAGGATTTACTGGGAATTACCAGGAATTCGGGATTTACCGGGATTCACTGGGATTCGGGAGAGCTCCAGGATTTACTGGGATTCACCAGGAATTCGGGATTTACTGGGATTCACCAGGAATTCCAGAGAGCTCCAGGATTTACTGGGATTCACTGGGAATTCAGGATTTACCAGGATTCACCAGGAATTCAGGATTTACCGGGATTCACCGGGAATTCCAGAAAGCCCCAGGATTCACTGGGAATTACCAGGAATTCAAGATTTACTGGGATTCACCGGGAATTTGGGATTTACCAGGATTAACCAGGAATTTGGGATTCGTCCCGGAACCTCCCGGTCCCTCACAGCGACCCCCGGTCCCGGTGTGCCCCCGGTGCCTTCAGGGACACCCCCGGTCCCTCAGGGCTCCCCTCCGTGTCCCGGTGTCCCCTCGGTCCTTCCCAGACACCGCCAGTCCCTCACGGTGCCCCCCTCCATGTCCCAGTGTCCTCCCGGTCCCTCACGGTCACCCCCGGTCCCTCACGGTTCCCCCTGGTCCCGGTGTAGCCCCGGTTCCTCACGATCACCTCCGGTCCCTGAGGGTCCCCCTCCATGTCCCGGTGTCCTCCCGGTCCCTCACGGTTCCCCTCCATGTCCCGGTAACCCCCCGGTGCCTAAAGAGACACCCCCGGTCCCGATGTCCCCCCGCTCCCCTCACGGACATCTCCGTGTCCCGGTGTCTCCCCGGTCCCTCACGATCACCCCCGGTCCCTCACGATCACCCTGGTCCCTCACGGCCATCCCCGGTCCCTCACGGTTCCCCCTGGTCCCGGTGTTCCCCCTTTCCCCTCACGGACATCTCTGTGTCCCGGTGTCCCCTCAGTCCCTCACGATCACCCCCAGTCCCTCACGATCATCCCCGGTCCCTCACGAACCCACCAATCTCCCGGTGTCCCCCCGGTCCCTCAGGGACCTTCCCCGTTCCCTCTCCCTCCGCTCTCCCCTCACGGACCCGCCGCCCCTCACGGTTCCCGCCGCCCCTCATGGACCCCGCCGCCCCTCACGGACCCCATCGGCCCCTCACGGTTCCCGCCCCTCACAGACCCGCCCGCCTCTCAAGGACCCCGCCGCCCCTCACAGACCCGCCGGCCCTCAGGGCTCCCGCTCCTCACGGATCCCGCCGCCCCTCAGGGCTCCCGCTCCTCACCGACCCCAGCGGCCCCTCAGGGACCCCGCCGGCCCCTCCCGGTCCCGGTGCCCGCGCTCCCTCCCGTCCCGGTGCCGCCCCCTCCCCTCACCGTAGCTCATGATGGCGGCGCCTCCTCCCCTTTCCCGGGCGGTAACGGCGCCGTGCCGGCCCCGCCCCCTCGCGCTGATTGGCCGCGCCGCTCCGCCTCCCCTGCGCTGATTGGGCCGCGCGGTTTGCACCTCCCATTGGCAGCCGGCTTTTGTCGCTCATGGGGTTTCCCGCGATGCGATTGGTTAAAGTGAAAGTCTGCTCGATGGGGAGGCGTGGCTCCCGCCGCTCTGCCCTCCCATTGGTCAGCTAAGCCGGCTAAGGACCTATCATGTGACAGGCGCGCCTCTGGCCACGCCCCCTCACCGCATCGCAGGCTGCTATTGGCAGCCTCTGCTGAGGCCACGCCCCCTGGCGCGCCCTCACGTGGCCTCTCGCGGCGGTGCGGTGTCACCGGGGGTCACGTGCGGCGCGTGTCACGTGTCAGCGGGGACGGCGCCGGGGTCACGCGAGGGAGACCCCGAACCCCAAAAACGACCCCAAAAACGACCCCCAATGACCCCAAAGAACGACCCCGAACCCCAAAGGGTGACCCCAAAAAATGACCCCAAAAAACGACCCCCAATGACCCCCAATGACCCCAAGGAACGACCCCGAACCCCAAAGGGTGACCCCAAAAACGACCCCCAATGACCCCCAATGATCCCAAAGAACGACTCGGAACAACGACCCCGAACCCCAAAAAATGACCTCAAAAACAACCCCAAAAATGACCCCGAACCCCAAAGAATGACCCCAAACAACGACCCCGAACAACGACCCCAAATCCCAAAGAATGACCCCAAAAAATGACCCCAAATGACCCCAAACCCCAAAGAATGGCCCCAAAAACAACCCCTAACCCCAAAGGAGGACCCCCAAAAACGACCCCAATAAACGACCCCGAACCCAAATGGTGACCCCCAAAAACGACCCCAAAAAACAACCCCGAACCCCAAAGGATGACCCCAAAAAATGGCCCCGAACCCCCAAGAGCGACCCCAAATGACCAAAAGAACGAGCCCGAACCCCCGTCCCTGGGTCCCCAAATCCCAAATAGCGACCCCAAACTCCCATCCCAGGGTCCCAAATCCCCAAATCCCAAATAACGACCCCAAATCCCGAATAACGACCCCAAATCCCCATCCCAGTGTCCCCAAATCCCAAATGAAGACCCCAAATCGCTGTCCCAGTGTCCCAAATAACGACCCAAAATCCCTGTCCCAAATCCCTGTCCCAAATCCCTGCCCTCAAATCCCAAAACCCCCATCCCAATGTCCCCGTCCCAATGTCCCCAATGTCCTCAAATCCCAAATCCCCAAATCCCAAATCCCCAAATCCCAAGTCCCCATCCGTGTCCCCAAATCCCCACCCCACTGTCCCCAAATCCCAAATAACGACCCCAAATCTTCATCCCAGTGTCCCCAAATCCCTCTGGATTTCCCAAAAATTCCCTGGATTTCCCCCAAATCCCTCTGGAATTCCCCCAAATTTCCCTGGATTTTTTCCCAGAATTCCCACAATCTCCATGGATTTCCCAAATTTCCACCAAATCCCCCAGAATTTCCTCAAATCTCCCTGGAATTCGCCCAAATTTCCCCCAAATCCCTCTGGATTTTCCAAAATTTCCCTGGAATTTCCCCACATTTCTCTGGATTTTCCCCAAATTTTCCCAGATTTCCCCAATTTTCCCCAGAATTCTCCCAAATTTTCTCAGATTTCCCCCAAATTTCCCTGGAATTCCCCCAAATCCCTCTGAATTTTCCCAAATCTCCCAGAATTTTCACAAATTTCCCTGGAATTCTCCCAAATTTCCCCGAATTTCCCCAAATTTCCCCATCCCAGACACGCAGACTCCGTTTTTCCCGGGAATTCATCTCCAGAAGAATTTAATTCATCGTCCCCCAGTCCCGGGTACAGGAAAAAGAAATTCTGGGGTTTTGGATAGGAATTCCCAGGTTTGGGAGGAGTTCTGGGGTTTGGGGTAGGAATTTCTGGGTTTCGGGGAGAATTTCGGGGTTTTGGGGAGAATTCCTGGGGTTTGGAGGGAATTCCTGGAGGAATTCCTGGGTTTGGGGAGGGAATTCCGGGGTTTTGGGCAGGAATTCCTGGGTTTCAGGGAGAATTTCTGGGTTTTGGGGGGAATTCCTGGAGGAATTTCTGGGTTTGGGGAGGAGTTCCTGGGTTTGGGGAGGGAATTCCTGGATTTCAGGAGGGAATTCCCGGGTTTCGGGGAGAATTTCTGGGTTTCGGGAGGAGTTCCTGGGTTTGGGGAGGGAATTCCAGGGTTTGGGAGGGGTTCCGGGGTTTTGGCGCGGGAACTCCGGGGTTTTGGGTATGAATTCCCGGGTTTTGGGAGGAGTTCCTGGGTTTGGCGCAGGAATTCCCAGGTTTACGGGGAGAATTTCTGGGTTCCAGGTAGAATTCCTGGGTTTTGGGAGGAGTTGCTGGGTTTGGCACAGGAAAAGAGCCAAAAACAGGGAGGGAAGGGCAGGAAAATGGGGAAATGCAGGAAAATGGGTAAAAAGAGCCAAAACCAGGGATGGAAGAGCGGGGGAAAACCAGGAAAACCACCCCAAAAAAGGCTGGGAAATGGGGAAATGGGGCAATGGCCCCAGCCCCACCTGCACTTGAGGGCCAAAAACAGGGAGGGAAGAGCAGGAAAATGGGGGAAAAGAGCCAAAAACACAAAGGGAAGGGCAGGAAAATGGGGGAAAAGAGCCAAAAACACAAAGGGAAGGGCAGGAAAATGCAGGAAATGCAGGAAAAGAGGGAAGAGAGCCAAAAACATGAAGGGAAGAGTAGGAAAAGGAGGGAAATGCAGGAAAAGAGGGGGAAAGAGCCAAAAACACAGATGGAAGAGCAGGAAAAGAGCCAAAAACAGGAAGGGAAGAGCAGGAAAAGAGCCAAAAACAGGAAGGGAAGAGCAGGAAAAGAGCCAAAAACAGGGAGGGAAGGGCAGGAAAAGGAGGAGAGCCAAAAACATGAAGGGAAGAGTAGGAAAAGGAGGGAAATGCAGGAAAAGAGGGGGAAAGAGCCAAAAACACAGATGGAAGAGCAGGAAAAGAGCCAAACCCAGGGATGGAAGAGCAGGAAAATGGGGGAAAAGAGCTGAAACCAGGGAGGGAAGAGCAGGAAAATGGGGGAAAAGAGCCAAAAACAGGGAGGGAAGAGCAGGAAAATGGGGGAAAAGAGCCAAAAACAGGGAGGGAAGAGCAGGAAAAGGAGGGAAATGAAGGAAAAGAGGGGGAAAGAGCTAAAACCAGGGAGGGAATATCCGGAAAAGGGGGGAAATGCAGGAAAAGAGGGAAAAGAGCCAAAACCAGGGAGGGAAGAGCAGGAAAAGGATGGGAATGCAGGAAAAAAGGGGAAAGAGCCAAAACCAGGTAGGGAAGAGCAGGAAAAGGAGGGGAATGCAGGAAAAAAGGGGAAAGAGCCAAAACCAGGGAGGGAAGAGCAGAAAAATGGGGAAAAAGAGCCAAAACCAGGGATGGAAGAGCGGGGAAAATTGGCAAAACCACCCCAAAAACGGCTGGGAAATGGGGAAATGGCCCCAGCCCCACCTGCACTTGAGGGCCAAAAACAGGGAGGGAGGAGCAGGAAAATGGGGAAATGCAGGAAAAGGGGGGAAATGGAGGTAAAGGAAGGGAGAGAGCCAAAAACAGAGATGGAAGAGCAGGAAAATGGGGAAATGCAGGAAAAGAGGGAAAAGAACCAAACCCAGGGATGGAAGAGTGGGGGAAAACCAGGAAAACCACCCCAAAAATGGCTGGGAAATGGGGCAGTGGCCCCAGCCCCACCTGCACTTGAGGGTGTAGATGTTGCCCACGAACTTGACCAGCGAGGTCTGCGGCGGGCGCGGCACCAGCGCGGGCACCGGGCGCACGCGCGGCGGCGGCCGCGGCCAGGAAAAGAGCCAAAAACAGGAAGGGAAGAGCAGGAAAAGAGCCAAAAACAGGAAGGGAAGAGCAGGAAAAGAGCCAAAAACAGGAAGGGAAGAGCAGGAAAAGAGCCAAAAACAGGAAGGGAAGAGCAGGAAAAGAGCCAAAAACAGGAAGGGAAGAGCAGGAAAAGAGCCAAAAACAGGAAGGGAAGAGCAGGAAAAGAGCCAAAAACAGGAAGGGAAGAGCAGGAAAAGAGCCAAAAACAGGAAGGGAAGAGCAGGAAAAGAGCCAAAAACAGGAAGGGAAGAGCAGGAAAAGAGCCAAAAACAGGAAGGGAAGAGCAGGAAAAGAGCCAAAAACAGGAAGGGAAGAGCAGGAAAAGAGCCAAAAACAGGAAGGGAAGAGCAGGAAAAGAGCCAAAAACAGGAAGGGAAGAGCAGGAAAAGAGCCAAAAACAGGAAGGGAAGAGCAGGAAAAGAGCCAAAAACAGGAAGGGAAGAGCAGGAAAAGAGCCAAAAACAGGAAGGGAAGAGCAGGAAAAGAGCCAAAAACAGGAAGGGAAGAGCAGGAAAAGAGCCAAAAACAGGAAGGGAAGAGCAGGAAAAGAGCCAAAAACAGGAAGGGAAGAGCAGGAAAAGAGCCAAAAACAGGAAGGGAAGAGCAGGAAAAGAGCCAAAAACAGGAAGGGAAGAGCAGGAAAAGAGCCAAAAACAGGAAGGGAAGAGCAGGAAAAGAGCCAAAAACAGGAAGGGAAGAGCAGGAAAAGAGCCAAAAACAGGAAGGGAAGAGCAGGAAAAGAGCCAAAAACAGGAAGGGAAGAGCAGGAAAAGAGCCAAAAACACAGATGGAAGAGCAGGAAAAGAGCCAAAAACAGGAAGGGAAGAGCAGGAAAAGAGCCAAAAACAGGAAGGGAAGAGCAGGAAAAGAGCCAAAAACAGGGAGGGAAGGGCAGGAAAAGGAGGGAAATGCAGGAAAAGAGGGAAAAGAGCCAAAAACACAGATGGAAGAGCAGGAAAAGAGCCAAACCCAGGGATGGAAGAGCAGGAAAATGGGGGAAAAGAGCTGAAACCAGGGAGGGAAGAGCAGGAAAATGGGGGAAAAGAGCCAAAAACAGGGAGGGAAGAGCAGGAAAAGGAGGGAAATGAAGGAAAAGAGGGGGAAAGAGCTAAAACCAGGGAGGGAATATCCGGAAAAGGGGGGAAATGCAGGAAAAGAGGGAAAAGAGCCAAAGCCAGGGAGGGAAGAGCAGGTAAAGGAGGGAAATGAAGGAAAAGAGGGGAAAAGAGCCAAAACCAGGGAGGGAAGAGCAGGTAAAGGAGGGAAATGAAGGAAAAGAGGGGAAAAGAGCCAAAACCAGGGAGGGAAGAGCAGGAAAAGGATGGGAATGCAGGAAAAAAGGGGAAAGAGCCAAAACCAGGTAGGGAAGAGCAGGAAAAGGAGGGGAATGCAGGAAAAAAGGGGAAAGAGCCAAAACCAGGGAGGGAAGAGCAGAAAAATGGGGAAAAAGAGCCAAAACCAGGGATGGAAGAGCGGGGAAAATTGGCAAAACCACCCCAAAAACGGCTGGGAAATGGGGAAATGGCCCCAGCCCCACCTGCACTTGAGGGCCAAAAACAGGGAGGGAGGAGCAGGAAAATGGGGAAATGCAGGAAAAGGGGGGAAATGGAGGTAAAGGAAGGGAGAGAGCCAAAAACAGAGATGGAAGAGCAGGAAAATGGGGAAATGCAGGAAAAGAGGGAAAAGAACCAAACCCAGGGATGGAAGAGTGGGGGAAAACCAGGAAAACCACCCCAAAAATGGCTGGGAAATGGGGCAGTGGCCCCAGCCCCACCTGCACTTGAGGGTGTAGATGTTGCCCACGAACTTGACCAGCGAGGTCTGCGGCGGGCGCGGCACCAGCGCGGGCACCGGGCGCACGCGCGGCGGCTCCTGTCACCATTCCCAATCCTGTCCCCAATCCTGTCCCCAATCCCAATCCTGTCCCCATTCCCAATCCTGTCCCCAATCCTGTCCCCAATCCCAATCCTGTCCCCATTCCCAATCCTGTCCCCAATCCTGTCCCCAATCCCAATCCTGTCCCCATTCCCAATCCTGTCCCCAATCCTGTCCCCAATCCCAATCCTGTCCCCAATTCCCCAATCCTGTTTCCAATTCCCCAATCCTGTCCCCATTCCCCATTTCACATCACCATTCCCATTCCCAATTCCCAGTCCTGTCCCCATTCCTGTCCCCATTCCTGTCCTCAGTTCCCCAGTCCTGTCCCCATTCCCCAATCCCATTCCCCATTCCTGTCCCCATTCCCAATTTCACATCTCCGTTCCCATCCCCCATTCCCCATTCCTGTCCCCAATTCCTCAGTCCTGTCCCCATTCCCAATTTCACATTCCTAATCCATATTCCCATTTTATCCCCAATCCCATTCCCACTCCCATCCCATCCCCAGCCCCATTCCCATTCCCAATCCTGTCCCCATTCCTATTCCCATTCCCAATTTCACATTCCCATCCCCATCCCCATTCATGACCCCATTCCTAAATCCCATATTTCATTTCCACTCCCATTCCCACCAGCATCCCCCAGTCCCAAACCCCACATTTCCCATTCCAAACCCCACATTTCCCACCCCAAAGCCCACATTTCCCATTTTCCCAATGCCCCCATCACTCACTGCTGAAGTTGCCCCTCTGCTCCTCCACCTTGACCAGCCCCAGGGACGAGCCCAGGCCCCACATTTCACATTCCAAACCCCACATTTCCCATTCCAAACCCCACATTTCCCACCCCAAAGCCCACATTTCCCATTTTCCCAATGCCCCCATCACTCACTGCTGAAGTTGCCCCTCTGCTCCTCCACCTTGACCAGCCCCAGGGACGAGCCCAGGCCCCACATTTCACATTCCAAACCCCACATTTCCCATTCCAAACCCCACATTTCCCACCCCAAAGCCCACATTTCCCATTTTCCCAATGCCCCCATCACTCACTGCTGAAGTTGCCCCTCTGCTCCTCCACCTTGACCAGCCCCAGGGACGAGCCCAGGCCCCACATTTCACATTCCAAACCCCACATTTCCCATTCCAAACCCCACATTTCCCACCCCAAAGCCCACATTTCCCATTTTCCCAATGCCCCCATCACTCACTGCTGAAGTTGCCCCTCTGCTCCTCCACCTTGACCAGCCCCAGGGACGAGCCCAGGCCCCACATTTCACATTCCAAACCCCACATTTCCCATTCCAAACCCCACATTTCCCAACCCCATAAATCCCATTTTTCCCACCCCAAACCCCACATTTCCCATTCCCAAACCCCACATTTCCCCCCCCAAAGCCCACATTTCCCATTTTTTCACCCCCTCACTCACTGCTGAAGTTGCCCCTCTGCTCCTCCACCTTGACCAGCCCCAGGGGCGAGCCCAGGCCCCGGTCGGCCGCGCCCTCGGGGCCCTTGCCGCAGTCGCCCAGCGCCGCCTCGGCCGCCAGCCCGCCCTTGGGCAGGAAGGGCACGGCCAGGGCGCCGCGCGGCTCCCGCGGGTGCGCCGAGCTCCGGAACTTCTTGGAGAAGGGGCGCCCGCCCTGGATGTAGCTGCGGTAGGCGCCCGCCTTGTGCGGCCGGTGCCGGATCCACTCGCGCAGCGTCTCGATGGGGGAGCCGTTCACGCACCACTCGGTGACCCCGAACTGCCGCAGGTGCGCCCGGGCGTGGCTGGCCAGCGCCTTCCTGTTCTCGAAGTACAGCCCGCACAGCTCGCAGCACGCCTCTGCTGCTGGGAACGGGGAAAAATGTGAATTAATACCCAAAAAATGGGGTTAGAATGGGGGAAATGGGGTATGGGCAGTGCTCAGAGTGTCGCGGGGGCGCGCGGGCGTGGCTGGCCAGGGCTGGGATGTTCTCAAAGTACAGCCCGCACAGCTCGCAGCTTCCGGGGTTTGGGGAGGAATTCTGGGGTTTGGGGAGGGAATTCCGGGGTTTGGGAGGAATTCCTGGAGGAATTCCGGGGTTTGGGGGGAATTCCGGGGTTTGGGGAGGGAATTCCAGGGTCTGGGGAGGGAATTCTGGGGTTTGGGGAGGAATTCCGGGGTTTGGGGAGGAATTCTGGGGTTTGGGGAGGGAATTCCGGGTTTGGGGAGGGAATTCCGGGGTTTGGGGAGGGAATTTCTGGGTTTTGGAATTCTGAGATTTCAGGATGAATTCCCACGTTTTGGGCACGAATTCCCAGATTTCAGGAGTAATTCCCAGATTTCAGGAAGAATTCCCGGGTTTCAGGCAGGAATTCCCTGGTTTCAGCAGGAAAAGGGCGGGAGGGAAAGAGCCAAAACCAGGGAGGGAAGAGCAGGAAAATGGAGAAAAAGAGCCAAAAACAGCGAGGGAAGAGCAGGAAAATGGAGAAAAAGAGCCAAAAACAGCGAGGGAAGAGCAGGAAAAGGAGGGAAATGAAGGAAAAGAGGGGGAAAGAGCCAAAAACAGGGAGGGAAGAGCGGGAAAATGGGGACAAAGAGCCGAAACCAGGGAGGGAAGAGCGGGGAAAATCGGCAAAACCACCCCAAAAACGGCTGGGAAATTGGGCAATGGGGCAGTGGCCCCAGCCCCACCTGCACTTGAGGGCCAAAAACAGGGAGGGAGGAGCAGGAAAATGGGGAAATGCAGGAAAAGGGGGGAAATGGAGGTAAAGGAAGGGAAAGAGCCAAAAACAGAGATGGAAGAGCAGGAAAATGGGGAAATGCAGGAAAAGAGGGAAAAGAACCAAACCCAGGGATGGAAGAGTGGGGGAAAACCAGGAAAACCACCCCAAAAATGGCTGGGAAATGGGGCAGTGGCCCCAGCCCCACCTGCACTTGAGGGTGTAGATGTTGCCCACGAACTTGACCAGCGAGGTCTGCGGCGGGCGCGGCACCAGCGCGGGCACCGGGCGCACGCGCGGCGGCGGCCGCGGCACGGGAATTAACACCCAAAAAAATGGGGTTAGAATGGGGGAAATGGGGTATGGGCAGTGCCCAGAGTGCCGCAGGTGCGCCCGGGCGTGGCTGGCCAGCGCCTTCCTGTTCTCAAAGTACAGCCCGCACAGCTCGCAGCACGCCTCTGCTGCTGGGGAACACAGGAAATGGGGAAAAACGGGGAAAAATGGGGAAAAAATGGGGTTATTTATACAGAAAATGGGGTATGGGCAGTGCCCAGAGTGCCGCAGGTGCGCCCGGGCGAGGCTGGGCAGAGCCTTCCTGCTCTCAAAGTACAGCTCACAGCAGGGAGAAGAGAGAAAAATGGGGAAAAAATTGGGAAAATAGATGGAGAAAATGGGGAAAAATGGGCAAAAAATGGGAAAAAAAATTGGGAAAGAACAAGTGCTCCCAGCCAATGCCAAAAACATCCCAAAGACATCACAAAATCATCCCAACCACCCCAAAATCATCCCAAAACCCCAAAATTCGTGTGATTTCCCCTCAGGACTCACAGGCCTTGTCGTGCAGGGCCTTGGCCTTGAAGCCCAGCTTGAAGGCTTTGTGCTTGGCCTCGCCGTGCCCACCCAGCCCATCCCAAAAACACCCCAAAACCATCCCAAAACCATCTCAAAGATCCCAAAACCATCCCCAAACCATCCAAACTCCCATGAATTCCTATGATTTCCCCTCAGCACTCACAGGCCTTGTCGTGCAGGGCCTTGGCCTTGAAGCCCAGCTCGAAGGCTTTGTGCTTGGCCTCGCCGTGCCCGCCCAGCCCTTCCCAAAAACACCCCAAAAGCTTTCCTAAAACCATCTCCAAGATCCCAAAACCATCCAAAAACCACCTCAAAGATCCCAAAAACCCCAAAATTCCCATTATTCCCCCCTGGGCACTCACAGGCCTTGTCGTGGAGGGCCTTGGCCTTGAAGCCCAGCTTGAAGGCTTTGTGCTTGGCCTCGCCGTGCCCACCCAGCCCATCCCAAAAACATCCCAAAGATCCCAAAAACACCCCAAAAACCATCCCAATCACCCCAAAACCACCCCAAAACCCCAAAAACTGCATGAATCCCCCCAGCACTGCCCCGGCGGCGCCTTGGGCTCCGCGCCGTCCTCGCCCAGCCCCGCGCCCGGCTCCAGCCCCGGCGGCAGCGGCGGCTCCTTCTTGATGAGGCAGGGCTTGGATTTCTTCCCCCATGGCACTCACAGGCCTTGTCGTGCAGGGCCTTGGCCTTGAAGCCCAGCTCGAAGGCTTTGTGCTTGGCCTCGCCGTGCCCGCCCAGCCTCTCGTCGCCCAGCGGCCTCTTGGCGGCCAGGAAGGCTCCGGGCGCGTTCTTGGAGCCCAGCGGCGCCAGGGCCAGCCCCGAGCCCGGCTTGCCCAGGGCCAGCCCCGGGGGCAGCGCCTTGCCCGGATTAGGGAGGGATGGAACTCCCTGGATGGGCTCAGAGCACCCCAAAATCCCCGGGATGAGCACTAAGACAGCGGATGTGGCGCACCAGGTCTGCCCGCGAGGCTGGAGGGGGGAAATTTGGGATTAGGGAGGGATGGAACCCTCTGGGATGGCGTTTTAGAGACCCAAAATCCTTTGGAGGAGCTCAAAGCATCCCCAAAATGCCTGGGGTGAGCTCAGAGCATCCTAAAACCCTGGGGATGTGGCACACCGGGTCCGCCCGGGAGGCTGGAGAGGAGAAATCTGGGATTAGGGAGGGATGGAACCCCCTGGATGGGGTTTTGGGTCCCAAATTCCCAGGATGAGCTCCTAAACTCCCCAGGATGAGCCCCAGGGCAGCAGATGTCACGCACCAGGTCTGCCCGCGAGGCTGGAGGGGGAAAATTTGGGATTAGGGAGGGATGGAACTCTCTGGGATGGGGTTTTAGAGCCCCAAAATCCCAGGATGAGCCCCAGGCCAGCGGATGTGGCGCACCGGGTCCGCCCGCGAGGCTGCAGGGAGAGGGGAAATCTGGGATTAGGGAGGGATGGATCTCCCTGGGATGAGATCTCGGGTCCCTAAATCCTTCGGAGGAGCTCAAAGCATCCCCAAAATCCCCAGAATGAGCTCAGAGCATCCCAAAACCCTGGGGATGTCGCGCACCGGGTCTGCTCAAGAGGCTGGAGGGGGGAAATTTGGGATCCGCGCACCGGGTCCGCCCGCGAGGCTGCAGGGAGAGGGGAAATTCGGGATTAGGGAGGGATGGAACTCCCTGGATGGGCTCAGAGCATCCCAAAATCCCCAGAATGAGCACTAAGACAGCGGATGTCGCGCACCGGGTCTGCCTGCAAGGCTGGAGGGGGGAAATTTGGGATTAGGGAGGGATGGAACCCTCTGGGATGGGGTTTTGGGTCCCAAATTCCTAGGATGAGCCCTGAGCCAGTGGATGTCGCGCACCGGGTCTGCTCGAGAGGCTGGAGAGGGGAAATCTGGGATTAGGGAGGGATGGAACTCCCTGGGATGAGATTTTGGGTCCCTAAATCCATAGCAGGAGCTCAGAGCATCCCAAAATCCTGGGGATGTCACGTACCAGGTCCACGCAGGAGGCTGCCAGGGGGGAAATTTGGGAATAGGGAGGGAAGGAACCCCCTGGGATGGGATCTCAGGGTCCCAAATCACTGAGATGAGCCCTGAAACCCCAAACAAATTCCCGGGATGAGCTCCTAAACTCCCTGGGATGAGCTCCCAAAATCCCCAGAATGAGCCTCGAGCCAGCGGATGTCGCACACCGGGTCTGCCTGCGAGGCTGGGGAGGGGAAATCTGGGATTAGGGAGGGAAGGAACCCTCTGGGATGGGGCTTTAGAGCCCCAAAATCCCTCGGAGGAGCTCAAAGCATCCCTGAAATGCCCAGAGCGGTTCTCAAAGAACTCCCCGCAGAACTCGCAGCGGATGTCGCGGCACGGCTCCGAGCCCGAGGCTGGCAACGCGGGAGAGAAGGGGTTAAAAGGTGCTGGTGAAGGTTTGGGGCTGTGGGGATTCCCGGGAAAGGGATGAGGGGGTTCCCAGGGAACTCCCCGCAGAACTCGCAGCGGGTGTCGCGGCACGGCTCCGAGCCCGAGGCTGGGGAAGCGGGAGAGAAGGGAGAGAAGGGGTTAAAAGGTGCTGGTGGGGGTTTGGGGCTGTGGGGATTCCTGGGAAAGCGAAGTTGTGGGATAAGGGAAGTTGGGGTTCCCAGGGAATTCCCCGCAGAGCTCACAGTGGGTGTTGTGGGACGGCTCCGAGCCCCAGCTGGGAACACAGCACCGAAGGGGTTAAAAAGTGCTGGTGGAGATCCCAAATTTGGGGGTTTGGGGCTGAGGGGATTCCCAGGGTTCTGGGAGATTTGGGATAAGGGAATTGGGGTTCCCAGGGAACTCCCCACAGAACTCGCAGCGGATGTTGCAGCACAGCTCTGAGCCCGAGGCTGGGAACACGGCACCGAAGGGGTTAAAAGGCGCTGGTGGAGATCCCAAATTTGGGGGTTTGGGGCCCAGGGGATTCCCGGGGTGCTGGGAGCTTTGGGATAAGAGGGATTTGTGTTCCTGCCCAGGGCGTGTTTGTGCCAGGAGGAGGAGGAAGAGGAAGGAAAAAGAGGAGCAGGAGGAGGAAGAGGAAGCTCGGGAGAAAGAGACGGGAGAGGAAAAGAAGAGGAGGAGGAGCAGGAGGAAGAGCAAACCCCACTAAGCCCCAGTAAAACCCCAATAAAATCCCATAAAACCCCACTAAATGCCAACAAAACCCCATAAAACCCAGATAAAACCACACTAAACCCCATTAAGCCCAGATAAAACCCCACTAAACCCCAATAAAACCCCATAAAACCCCACTAAACCCCCATAAAACCACACTAAACACCATTAAACCCAGATAAAACCACACTAAACACCATTAAACCCCAATAAAACCCAACTAAACGCCAATAAAACCAGATAAAACCACACTAAACACCATTAAGCCCAGATAAAACCCCACTAAACCCCAATAAAACCCCATAAAACCCCACTAAACCCCCATAAAACCACACTAAACACCATTAAACCCAGATAAAACCACACTAAACACCATTAAGCCCAGATAAAACCCCACTAAACCCCAATAAAACCCCATAAAACCCCACTAAACCTCATTAAACCCAGATAAAACCCCATTAAACCCCAATAAAAGCCCATAAAACCCCACTAAACCCCCCCAAACCCCCACTAAAACCCCCCCAAACCCTATGTAACCCCACTAAACACCCCTAAACCCCCACTAAACCCCCCAAACCCCAAT